ATTAGTTTGAGAGACGTTATGCCTCTATTTAAACTATGCCAGGCTTTGACCTGTATGGAGGCCCATAATACACACATTAATCAGTGAGTAAAGAAGATTCAAGGGTAAACATATTGGGGATCGTAGCCTCATAACTTGCTTGAGCGCTTCCTTGCCAGCGTTGGAGGTTGGAGTTAATTCCTTTGGCACTGGACGTGGAGGTGACTACCCCGATTACTGTGTGGAATACCAGTGACCTGGAGGAGGTGACGACCTCGGGTACTCGCCTAGACACCTCACCATGGTGGTGCTACATGACCTCCCCGGCTTGGTGCCGTCTTTTGATAATTACTTACTTGCTTAACAGCTCACGTTCCCTTCGACCACCCTCTGGGTACCGTGTGACCGCCGGGGGAGCCCTCGGGAGAGTTGCTGGGGTCGATGTCTCTCTAGTGCACATAGCGGTTAACGGTTGTGACTTCACTACGGGGGATACAAGAGTGTGAGAGAAATAAGCAGCTCTCTCATTCCACGCTCCCTCCCGTAACAATACATACACACACATGGGGAACGATAATGGGATGGCTAGAGATATAGGTTGCAGTAGTGGTGCTCGGACCCCAGTAGTTGAATAGTGTGTGGCACCAAGGTTGGCACCCCTCTGACGATAGATCTGGCACTCTCTCCCGGCACTTACCGGAGATTAGTGTGGGCAGAGGGAGTGTTTATGTAATTATATCAAATAGCGGTAACTGGTAGAGAATACCGGGATCACTGGCGCTTAATTGTAGCGGGTTTACATCCAAGCAAACCATCGTTTTCTATACCTGCTTATTATAATAGGTAATATTGCCTCTGGTTAATCTGAACACACACTACCTCCTCTACACCTGCCCCTCTCTACCTCCTCCACACCTGCCCCTCTCTCTTCCTCCTCCACACCTGCCCCTCTCTCTTCCTCCTCCACACCTGCCCCTCTCTCTTCCTCCTCCACACCTGCCCCTCTCTCTTCCTCCTCCACACCTGCCCCTCTCTCTTCCTCCTCCACACCTGCCCCTCTCTCTTCCTCCTCTACACCTGCCCCTCTCTCTTCCTCCTCTACACCTGCCCCTCTGTCTTCCTCCTCTACACCTGCCCCTCTCTCTTCCTCCTCTACGCCTGCCCCTCTCTCTTCCTCCTCTACGCCTGCCCCTCTCTCTTCCTCCTCTACGCCTGCCCCTCTCTCTTCCTCCTCTACGCCTGCCCCTCTCTCTTCCTCCTCTACGCCTGCCCCTCTCTCTTCCTCCTCTACGCCTGCCCCTCTCTCTTCCTCCTCTACGCCTGCCCCTCTCTCTTCCTCCTCTACGCCTGCCCCTCTCTCTTCCTCCTCTACGCCTGCCCCTCTCTCTTCCTCCTCTACGCCTGCCCCTCTCTCTCTCTACGCCTCCTCTCTCTCCTCCTCTACGCCCCTCTCTCTTCCTCCTCTACGCCTGCCCCTCTCTCTTCCTCCTCTACGCCTGCCCCTCTCTCTTCCTCCTCTACGCCTGCCCCTCTCTCTTCCTCCTCTACGCCTGCCTCTCTCTCTTCCTCCTCTCCTCTCTCTTCCTCCTCTACGCCTGCCCCTCTCTCTTCCTCCTCTACGCCTGCCTCTCTCTCTTCCTCCTCTACGCCTGCCCCTCTCTCTTCCTCCTCTACGCCTGCCCCTCTCTCTTCCTCCTCTACGCCTGCCCCTCTCTCTTCCTCCTCTACGCCTGCCCCTCTCTCTTCCTCCTCTACGCCTGCCCTCTCTCTTCCTCCTCTACGCCTCTCTCTCTTCCTCCTCTACGCCTGCCTCTCTCTCTTCCTCCTCTACGCCTGCCTCTCTCTCTTCCTCCTCTACGCCTGCCTCTCTCTCTTCCTCCTCTACGCCTGCCTCTCTCTCTTCCTCCTCTCCTCTACGCCTGCCTCTCTCTCTTCCTCCTCTACGCCTGCCCCTCTCTCTTCCTCCTCTACGCCTGCCCCTCTCTCTTCCTCCTCTACGCCTGCCCCTCTCTCTTCCTCCTCTACGCCTGCCCCTCTCTCTTCCTCCTCTACGCCTGCCCCTCTCTCTTCCTCCTCTACGCCTGCCCCTCTCTCTCCTCCTCTACGCCTGCCCCTCTCTCTTCCTCCTCTACGCCTGCCCCTCTCTCTTCCTCCTCTACGCCTGCCCCTCTCTCTTCCTCCTCTACGCCTGCCCCTCTCTCTTCCTCCTCTACGCCTGCCCCTCTCTCTTCCTCCTCTACGCCTGCCCCTCTCTCTTCCTCCTCTACGCCTGCCCCTCTCTCTTCCTCCTCTACGCCTGCCCCTCTCTCTCTCCTCCTCTACGCCCTCTCTCTTCCTCCTCTACGCCTGCCCCTCTCTCTTCCTCCTCTACGCCTGCCCCTCTCTCTTCCTCCTCTACGCCTGCCCCTCTCTCTTCCTCCTCTACGCCTGCCCCTCTCTCTTCCTCCTCTACGCCTGCCCCTCTCTCTTCCTCTCTCCTCTACGCCTGCCCCTCTCTCTTCCTCCTCTACGCCTGCCCCTCTCTCTTCCTCCTCTACGCCTGCCCTCTCTCTTCCTCCTCTACGCCTGCCTCTCTCTCTTCCTCCTCTACGCCTGCCTCTCTCTCTTCCTCTCTCTCTCTCTTCCTCCTCTACGCCTGCCTCTCTCTCTTCCTCCTCTACGCCTGCCTCTCTCTCTTCCTCCTCTACGCCTGCCTCTCTCTCTTCCTCCTCTACGCCTGCCCCTCTCTCTTCCTCCTCTACGCCTGCCCCTCTCTCTTCCTCCTCTACGCCTGCCTCTCTCTCTTCCTCCTCTACGCCTGCCTCTCTCTCTTCCTCCTCTACGCCTGCCTCTCTCTCTTCCTCCTCTACGCCTGCCTCTCTCTCTTCCTCCTCTACGCCTGCCTCTCTCTCTCTCTCTCCTCTACATCTCTCGGGGGGAGGGGGGTGTTCGTGGTCCTCAATAAAAGTAGAGGTAAACTTGACTGTGTAAACCCCACGGAGGAAGATGAACCACCCGACTTCCCAGATAAGACATTCCCAATCCATCACCTCCATATTCCATACACTTCTCCGCCTCAGTATTGCTTTCTCCAAGTCTTACTTCCAATGGCCTCGACAAACGACCATACCATGTAGGGCTCTTGAATAGTAGCCGTGAGTCTCAGGGCGCACCTCTCTCTCCGCGCGGGGGTCGGCGCCAGCCCAGGTGAGGGTGGTTCCAGGTAAGATGACCATTGTGAGTTGTTAAAGAGACGCCTGATTGATGGTGATGGGTCTATGGAGATCGTAATCTGGCAGTCGTGTGGTGGTTGGTGCCAGTGGTCTGTGGAGTGGGCCACCACTCCAAGCAGCCTGCAGTGTGGGTTATACCAGCATGTTGGGACCCCCACACCCACATGAGGCAGTGTGGGTTATACCAGCATGTTGGGACCCCACACCCACATGAGGCAGTGTGGGTTATACCAGCATGTTGGGACCCCCACACCCACAGGAGGCAGTGTGGGTTATACCAGCATGTTGGGACCCCCACACCCACAGGAGGCAGTGTGGGTTATACCAGCATGTTGGGACCCACACACCCACAGGAGGCAGTGTGGGTTATACCAGCATGTTGGGACCCACACACCCACAGGAGGCAGTGTGGGTTATACCAGCATGTTGGGACCCACACACCCACAGGGGGCAGTGTGGGTTATTCCAGCATGTTGGGACCCCCACACCCACATGAGGCAGTGTGGGTTATCCCAGCATGCTGGGACCCCACACACCCACAGGAGGCAGTGTGGGTTATACCAGCATGTTGGGACCCCCACACCCACAGGAGGCAGTGTGGGTTATACCAGCATGCTGGGACCCCACACACCCACAGGAGGCAGTGTGGGTTACACCAGCATGCTGGGACCCCACACACCCACAGGAGGCAGTATGGGTTATACCAGCATGTTGGGACCCCCACACCCACACGAGGCAGTGTGGGTTATACCAGCATGCTGGGACCCCCCACACCCACATGAGGCAGTGTGGGTTATACCAGCATGCTGGGACCCCACACACCCACATGAGGCAGTGTGGGTTACACCAGCATGCTGGGACCCCCCACACCCACACGAGGCAGTGTGGGTTATACCAGCATGCTGGGACCCCCCACACCCACAGGAGGCAGTGTGGGTTATACCAGCATGCTGGGACCCCCCACACCCACACGAGGCAGTGTGGGTTATACCAGCATGCTGGGACCCCCCACACCCACACGAGGCAGTGTGGGTTATACCAGCATGCTGGGACCCCACACACCCACAGGAGGCAGTGTGGGTTATACCAGCATGCTAGGACCCCACACACCCACAGGAGGCAGTGTGGGTTACACCAGCATGCTGGGACCCCACACACCCACAGGAGGCAGTGTGGGTTACACCAGCATGCTAGGACCCCCCACACCCACAGGAGGCAGTGTGGGTTACAGCAGCATGCTAGGACCCCACACACCCACAGGAGGCAGTATGGGTTACACCAGCATGCTGGGACCCCACACACCCACAGGAGGCAGTGTGGGTTACACCAGCATGCTGGGACCCCACACACCCACAGGAGGCAGTGTGGGTTATACCAGCATGCTGGGACCCCACACACCCACAGGAGGCAGTGTGGGTTACACCAGCATGCTAGGACCCCACACACCCACAGGAGGCAGTGTGGGTTACACCAGCATGCTGGGACCCCACACACCCACAGGAGGCAGTGTGGGTTACACCAGCATATGCTCCCTCTCCCTTTCCAGCCCGTTGTTGCCGTGGAGGGGCTTGGTGGGCGGCTGCCGGGGTGTGATGCTCCATGGGACAGTCCTCTGTCCTCTTTGAAGCCTTATGCTCCTGCTGCTGGCTTCACGAATTGTGCTGGATGGCTTTTTCTTTTTGAATTTCGTTTTTCTTCATCCCTCTTTTCCCACCTGTCATTTCCCACCGATTTTTTGTCATACTTGATTAATATTTTGAACATCTTCTGTGTGGACGCCTGGGTGAGTGGGGAGGCGTGCACACTCACCAGTTCAACTGTGGTAGCCGATGTTTCGAGCGACGGGAAGTTTTTAATGAACTTGATCTCGGGGGACTGACGGTTCTCAAGGTGGCGATTGCAGGGCATATACTCATGATGCACTCCTGGGGTGGGTCCCATCTTGTCGGGTGTCTATCCTCTAGTTGTGGCTCTATGGTCGGTATGGGCGCTTATTCGTGAATTAAATTATTACCTGCTCGTTTCTATCCCACTAAATAATCCTCTTATAACTTTCCAGACTCATGGGGTGGGGGACCAAGCCCCCGAGTCGGACTGTGTTGGAAGATCGGGCTCTGTAGCCCCCATTACATTGGGCCCATCAAGTCCAATATCGGGAGGATCCTTTCCTCCCGCCTACCCCACTCTGCTCTCCTCCCACCTGTGTGGTAGTGTCGAGTCCCAGGCCCCCAGTGATGACCACCTCAACACCTGGAGTGGCTCATTTCATTTTGATAACTGTGCCTTTTACCCCCTTCTTACTGAGGGTGCTCAGCGCCGACCCCCCCCCCCCCCCCCCCACATCCGCACTTGCACGATTCCTTCCAGTACTAGTACGTTCCACGCCTTGTTTGGTCCTGCTAAGTAGAATGAACAATTTGATCTCAACTATCTGGATTCTACATGACCTGGCGATTTCTACCTACATAAACACTTCGTCGATTCCGTGGATACCTGTTACTTTTAAACCCCACCTGTACTGGTTCATGTGTTGTTGCTGCTCCTTCTCAGGAGGCAGCTACTCACTTAGCTGCATCGTCCAGCATTGAGGAGACCACTGTTAGTATCTTAAAAAAGGCCCAGTTAAATGTCAGTATTGGCATTTATCCTCCCGCACCATGTTGCGACTGGTGTTAGGGACCTGGAAAAACTGCCACGAGGATATTAAACATATCCTTGAAACCCCTGGCCATTCTGTTCTCCGGGTTGATGCACTTACTCGACCTCCTTATGGTCGTCGTCGACAGCCTCTTCGAGTTTAGATCACTTTTGATAGCATGACCCTTCCACCTTCTATAATTCTTGCTGGTGCCAGATGCTCCATTCAGGAGTACATTCCCTCTCCTAGACTTTGCATAGGTGCTGGAACTTCGGGCATGGTGCCCTCAAATGCACAAGTGCAGTGTGTCGATGCCCCTTGTGTGGGGACTCGGGTCACTCTAAGATTGAGTGCTCTTCTTCCCAGGTTCACTGCATCAATTGCGGTGACGCCCACCCTACCTTCTCCCGCCAGTGTATGCACTACAAATTTGAGGAAGCCATCCTCAATTTGAAGCACCACGATCGTTTGTCTTTCCTAAGGCGAGACTCCAAGTCTACCATCTCTCCTCTTTCGCTGACATGTCTTACACTCGTGTGTTGCGGTCTACCTCTTCTCCCCTTCCCCTCTTTTCTCAGTCTCGACCATTTCCAGACCTTGGACCCGGACACCACCCCCAAACGTTCTGAACCGGAAGGTTCTCCTGGTTCGTCTTACTCGTCTGGTGTTTCCTTCTTTACTTCCCAGTCTGCCCCGTCTCCTATGTCCTCTTTCCCTTCTGCCCCCAATCCTTCTTCCCAGCCCTCCCCTCTGTCTTCTTGCCCTCCACACCGCCTGTCTGTCTAGGCTGTTGTCCATCATCCTCCCGGCAATCTTCATGTTGATCGCGCCCGTTCTCCTTCTCCTGTTGAGACTAGGGAGACACTTGCCCAGTATGTTGTTGCTTGCACACCTATCTCATTTAATCAGACATGTAAGCATGGCTCCTTTCTTTCCTCCCCAGTAGGTAATAAGGCTTCACTTTCTTCCCCGCCTTCCGACTCCAATTCTATCCCTGCATCCTCCTCCCATTTAGGTGGCCGAGCCCCCTGTCCCAGCTATGGAGGTTCCCTTGGTTCTAGATTCTCTCTCGGTTGCTGCCCTGGATGAGGTGCACTTCCCTGTTTGTCCCCTCCCCCCTGATTTCCTTGACCGCCCCTCCCCAATGCCACCTACCACTCTGGACTTTGTCCGTCTGCCTCTGGCCAACTTCTATGAACCTCAACTTCTGATAAGTTTTCATGGCTTTGTGTCTGTCTCCAGGAGCCGATGCTTGGTGCTCGTCCTGGTCACTTCTTTGGTTATTCCTTTCTCCCCCCCCCCCCAAGCTTTGGCTGGGGCCATTAACTCTACTGCTCTCTTGATTTGTACTGATATTCCCTTCGTCTTCCTCCTTTTTCAGTCGCCCATCCAATGTTCTGTAGCCCGTATCTTTTTGAGTAAATGGTATAGTCTGTTCCATTTATTTTCTCCCAAATGTACCACTTTCTCTTCCTGATCTTAAGCACCTGTTGGACTCCTTACCAGAACCTGCATTCTTATTGGGTGATTTCAACTGTTGGCATACACTATGGGGGGTGATGCTCTGACAAACACCTGGGGCCGCCTTCTAGAACCATTTGTCTTCTCTTCTCTCTCTCATGAATTCTGATGAGCCAACTCATGTTAACTACTGCACTCGCACCCTCTCCTGTCTCGATCTTTCTCTCTGCTCATCTTCTCTTTACTTAGATTTCACATGGCGGGTTCTTGATGACCTCCATAACAGTGACCATTTCCCCATCCTTGTCAACTTTTTCTTTTCACCCTCCCCTCTCCTTCCCCAGGTGGCAGTTTGCCAAGGCTGACTGGAACCCATTTACCCTCCATACTACTTTTTCCGACCTCTCCGCTCTACCTCTCCCTCGAACCCCTCTCCTTTTCTGTGACATGGTATTAGATCCTGCCCCTGCTCTATTCCTCGCTCTACATCACAAGGCATGCGGAAGTGTGTTCCCTGGTGGAATACAGTCTGTGCTCGATCTGTCCGCTGTAAGCGTGCAGCCTGGAAGCAACACCGCCGCCGGCAGATGCTGATTCCTTTATTTTGTTATGAAAGGCGATTGCAGTGGCCCGTAGAACTATGCATACAGCTAAACGTGAGTTTAAAATCTTGTCTCCACCATTACGTCCAATACTCCTCTGCCCCCGATCTGGAAGAAAATTCGCAAGATAGTGGGTAAGTTTGTTCCAGATATCTCACCAGTTATTCACCTCCGTGGTACTATTATGGCGGATCCAGTGTCAGTCGCGACTGAACTGGGTTCCCACTTTTCGACTGTCGGCTCCAGTTCGCATCTTCCTCCATCTTTCCTTATTTGTAAGCCCATTCTTGAATCTCATCCCCTAGATTTTTGCACTCGTCTCTGGTTTCCCTATAACGATGCCTTCCCTCTTTCCGAACTTCAGTCTGCCCAGGCCCTCTGCAGTTCTATGGGCCAGGGCAGCGGGTTCAGATGACATTCATTGAGATGCTTCGTCATCTCCCTCCATGCTCATTTCAGTATTTACCAAATCTGTATAACCCTATCTGGGAGTCCTTGACAGTTCCTGAGGACTGGCATGAGTGGTTGTTCATTCTATTCGGAAACTGGGGTCTCTAGAGACATCCCCTAAAGACCCCCCATTGCCCTCAAGAGCAATGTCTGCAAACTCTCTGAACGTATGGTCAATGTCCGTCTGATGTGGGTCTTTGAACACTATCACCACCTCTCCCCCTTCTCAATTTGGCTTTCACAAGTGTCGCAGCACAACTGATGTCTTGGTGAACTTGGAGGTCTATATTCGTACTGCTTTTGCTGCAAACATCTCCATTGTTGTTGTTTATTTTGACCTGGAAAAGGCTTACGACACCACCTGGAGTTACCATATTCTGTCCCAACTCCGTTCTTTTGGCCTTCGTGGTAATCTTACTCTCTTCTCCCAAGCTTCCTCTCTAGTCGTTCCTATAGAGTGAAGTTTGGTACCGCTCTCTCTACCTCTTTTCGGCAATACGAAGGTGTGCCCGAAGGTAGTGTTCTGAGCACTACTCTTTTTCTGGTTGCCATCAATGGTCTTTTGCTCCCTTCCCTCTGACCTCTTTTCAGTGCTCTATATCGACGATCTTACCATCTGCTGTCGAGGTGATGACTCTCCTCTCCTTTAACGACGGCATCTACTTGAGATTGGTGCCATGTCGTCTTAGGTCACCAATCATGGCTTCAAGTTCTCTATGACTAAAACTTGTGCAATGACTTTTACTCGGAAGCAGGTCGTTCTTCGTCCCCCTTTGTCGCTTTATGGTCATCCCCTTGTGTACAAAGATTCTGCTAAGCATTTGGGGCTAATCTTTGGCACTCGTTTGTCTTGGTCACCCCATATCTCCTACCTCCGAGCTGATGGCTCTAAGGCCCTTAACTTAAGGTCTTGTCCCATACTTTTTGAGGAGCAGATAGGCGCACACACTCCTCTCTTTACATTACTCTCTCTCGTATTGTCTAAACTCGATTATGGTTGCCCTGCTTACTCGTCTGCTTCTCCTCCTCCTCTTTGCCGTCTGGATGCTCTGCACCAAACTGTGTTGTGCTTGATCTCTGGTGCCTTTTGTTCGACTCCGACCCTAAGCCTGTATGTTGAAACTGGCGTCCTATCTCTACAGGATCGCCGTGATCGCTACTGTCTTCGCTAACTTGCATGGTCCTTACAACTCCCTCTCTTATGTCGTTCTTTGACCTTTACCCCTCCTGTGGTTCCTGTTCCCCTTCACCACTTACCTCTTTCTGTCCGGTTGTCTCGCTTACAAGATTCTCTTTCGGTTCGTGTTTCCAATATTTCCCCTTGTGTCGTTCCGTCCTTGCCCCCGTGGAGGGTCACCCCTTCCTAAGTTTTGTAAATCTTTGACCCACGTGACTAAAGCTTTAACCCTCCTACTGTTCTGAAATGTTTCTTCCTTGAACACTTTTCTTCACACTCCCACTTCATTTCCGTCTTCACAGATGGGTCTAAGTCTGTAGACGGTGTAGGCTACTCTGTTGTTTTTCCTGACCACACCTTTGTGTTGCTTGCTTCCGGAGACCAGCAACTTCACAGCAGAACTTTATGCAATTTTGTTTGCTCTTCAACTGCTTTCTCGCTGTCAACCCTCCTTTGTTGTTGTAGGTGACTTTTGCAGTGCCCTCATGGCTCTGGAGTCCTAATCCAGTCCTTCCTGTAGTAGTCGAAATTCAACATTGGCTGTTTCTTATCTTCAGTAGATTTAAGACAATGGAGTTTTGCTCATTTCCCAGCCATATTAGCGTGTCCTTAA